ACATATGTTTTCTACTTTGGAACATTTGGAAACACGGGTTTGTGGGAAATTTGATGCCAAAACTTCCAAAAACTGATTCGTGGTGTTACCCCGAAAGTTAGACGTGCTTCTATGTCCGTGCAGACGAAGTTTTCTTACCGAGAGTCCTAGTGTCTGTTGTGCCATCTGCACAAGTCTGGGAACATTCCTTTGCAAGTCTACTTGGCCGCGAATGCCATGAAGTGATCAGTTTCCACCGTTAGAAGTGAAATTTGTCTCTAAAAGAAAAGTAAGACCAAAAACCGAACACGTCGCAAGGGGCCAACGGTCACCCCAATGCTGCGGTGGCGTTATGGGTATCAGAGTTTACTCTTACTCTTGTTTCTTGTCTGCAAAAAAGTGCGCTCAACATCAGGGAGACCGCAGTTTTTGTACGGATTTTAAAATCCCTCGTTAGTCTCCTTCGGTGTTCTGCTCATAAATAATTCATCTCAATCCGTCGGTCAGCCGCAGCGCACCAGCGGTTCCCTCACTCAGAAGTTTCCACCACTGTGCTTTTGTTGCTTTTTGGCGGCGCAACTTTGCGCGCTTGTCAGTTCGTCAATCACCCGCGGATCCAGCCGCGGACAATCGCCCCATAAAAGGTGAAAGGCGCGCAATTTTCCCATGGCCCTGAAAGCGGGGGCCCCTAAACGTCTTTAAAATCCCTTTTTTGTTGCCGGGAACAAAGACGAGTGGACCTTTTCGCCGCTCTTCCCTCTCCATTACGCCGGCATTTTCGGTACAGCCGACTGTCACAAAACGGTCCGCCGCGCGGCGGACAACGCCGCGCCGCGAGCGTCATTGAATGCTCGTTGACAGGCTCATCATGCGGGGCTTTGTTCGTCGCCCAATGCCGCATATTACCGAGAAGTCTGTGGCCGCGCGAAAGGCGTAACGGACACCGAACAACAAAGGCCATTCATGGCGGTTGACATTGACGAAATTGGCGCTATTGAGCCGGCGTGGATGCCTCGAAAGAACGAAGCGTCCCTCAAAAAGTTACCCGTCGCCTCATGCCACTTCGAATGACCGTTCAAGTGATGGACCTCGGGGAAGCTTTTCGACAATAGCGTCGGACTGCAACAAAGCCCCTGCAAAGTGCGGGTGCTTTGTACGCTCGGCAGGGCTCCCACGCTATGCCGAAAAAAGCAACAATAGCGCAACAATGGGCTGGCTCTGAGCGGATGAATGTCTGATTCTGGTGAGTGAGAACCGTCAAAGGCTCGAAATGCCAGTTGGAACAACACACAGCGTAACAAATGTAGTGTTAACTTCCTGGTTGTGAAGGAACTAAGGCGATTGGAAGTGAGCTCGGAGGGTTAGCTGAAACATGTGAGATTACGCGCTTGCCGCGCAATGAAGCGTCGAACGATGGCCTAAACATGAGGAGTCATTCAACTTGTATTTTATTAAGCAAACGCGAAACGGACATTTCCGCGTCTTACGAGCCCTTTTCTCGTCGGCCTCTGCGCTATTTGTCAACCACAAAACCGAAGTTTACGCTTCGCAAAGGGCCTTTGTGGGGATTATCCTGCTCTCGAGTGCATTTCCGTCGAGAGCGCTTTCGGTGAGTTCCGATCGCCGCATGTTCGAGCCCGTAACCGACTTGGGCCGCCTTTTCGGCAAGTGGCCTCCCGGAAGCTGTGTCCTTTCGCGCGCCGATTCTCCGTATGTTTTATTGCACAACGGAGTACTGTCCTAAGTGAATTGACCCGCGACCTCCCACCGACTTTTCGGCTGCGCATTTGCTCACAGGTGGCCCGAAAAACATGGCACCAGAAGTGCGCATGAAGCAGCAAGTTCGAACGGCAAATATCAGATCCATCAGTAGGCTCTCAGTTTGCCGTTTGTCGGATGCTAGTGCGGCGCCGCTCAAGTATGCAAAAGTAGGGCTAAATTAACGTCCCATTCGCTTACCCTTTTGGGACATAGTGATGGTGATGAGCCGCCTGGGACTGGTGAGAAACAAGCGTGATTTTACCAAGAGTTTTCAGGTACCAGTTGACTAGCGCTCTTTTGTCAGTGTTGTCGTCAGACATTGTACTCGAGACAGCTAGGTATTTATTCTCTATCCGTATGCATGCTACAATTTACAAACGAAAGGACAATCGAACAGCCTGCGACAGGTAGTGCATAAATCCTGAGTGTGTGCTCAAGTCTGTCAGAAATTACGCTGTTTACCTACTTGCTATATCTGCCACACGTCGGCCACTTTGGCCACGTTCCAAAAGCGGAATCACCTCGGCCATTGTTGGCCCCTCATTCGGAACAATGAGCCTGTTGTCCTGGCGTGAATGGATAAAACGATTTTCTCGTTTGTGTGTGCCTCTCTCGGAAGCGACAGCAGGAATTGTGCTGTTTGCTTTGTTCGCGGGCCGGAACGAAACAATTGGCAATAATTTTATGCACGAGACAAGGCGAAACCATTCCGTGTGCCTTTGTTCTCCCACAAAGAAGCGCCAATTCGTCCGAAAATGGCTACAGCCCATTCCGAACCCACTCGGCGGCCGTTGCTGCCAGCGGCAGATGCGCGCAACACACGAGAGCTCTTTCGGTGGAAGACCGCTGGCATCACCTCATGACAGAAGATAGACGGACGCATTTGAGTACCTAGGCACATACGCAAATAAGACGGTGGTATTCTTGCCTACCGCACTTTACCTCGGGTCTCTGCATTCTTCGGCCATGTCGACCGGCTCTTCTTGTTTCAAGTCACTTTGAATTTCCGCTATCCCTAGGTAAAATGAAATGTGCTCAACGCCAGGTTGGTAGCGGTAGAATTTGCCGAGAAGGGCCTTGTCTGTGACAACGATTCAGCGTTTAACGCATGTCCGTCCGCCGAGATTTGAAAATTACAGTGTTATCGCATTGTTTACGTGCTGCAAAGCTAATGGAAATCTTTGCTCATTCATCGTCGATGCACCATTCGATGGCCTAGTGTGCAGCTGTGCTTACTCAGCTCACTAGCCATTTCACGGCTTTCTAGACCCCCTTTAACCCACGTGCTTGTTTAAAGCACCACCGTTTGTCACAGAACTATTCTGATCAAGGACCGGTTATTGCTCATTTTAGTGACTGCCAATAAACAAGGCGATCAAAGTACTCTTACGCCTCCGTCGTGAACTTCCTTCCGGGTAATATTTACCGGCCCGCTCCCGTCCTTATCGCCCACCAAACGGGTTGTTTTGAGGCGTTTTCACGACACATAATTTAACGCTTTTATTGACTGTTTTATGCTCAAACTGATTCCTACAAAACAAGGAAGAAAGTTCCGTAGAAAATATTGACGCGAGTTGCCAAGCGCTTCAACGAAGGTACCTTCCGTTTTCCGCAGTCGGGTACGGTGCATGTCAACAATAGCATTCTCGAAGTTACCTTGAGGCGTAGAGCCGCTACGCATTCGCAAGCAATTTCCGGATCAGCGAAAAGTGTTAAAACTAGATAAAGACGTGTGCCGACGAAAACCGAACCGAAGTTCATATGGCGGTAGGGCGGCACGCTGAAAAACCGAAGAGGTCATGACTCAGTGCCGTAATCCCGTGATTGCATGAGCACAGAAATAGTTGCCCTCAGGCGACTTCGCGCATTTATCACAAGCAAACACGATGTATGTATGCTAAAACATTGTACACTGCTTTCAAGAGGCCGTTGCGTACATGGAGGGAGCGTATTCTTTGCAGACATTTCATTGCAAAGCGATGGAAAGTGTACTTTTTGCTGCAGTCTTTAGTCGCTACGATTTGGTCAGTGAGGCCGATGATTGTTCAGATCTTTCTCCTGTCGTTGGATCAAGCGTTTACCCCCATTGAATGGGTTGATTCAGTGCACCTGCCAATGCATTGTTGTACGTCATTCGTTGTTCACGCATACTTGTCCACCGATCACTTTCTCTGTATCCCGCACTACATCACTCCGAGGACGTAGGACAATTTCGCGAGAGTCGGGACTTTGGCAACAGTGATTCGCTCCCTCTCTACGTTGCGACGCCGACGACGACCATTCATCCGCGGTGCGGGTGGAGAGCGGTCGTTACAAAATCCACAAAGCGGAATGATTCCTTTTGCGGGCCGACGCGGCTGTCATTGTCACCGCCGTCGGTGGACAATTCCCGGCGATTCAATGCGCGTAGTAGCAGTGGTGTTTGTTAAACAAACACCCGCTTTCAGTGCGCTCCATTCTTTGCGCTGCCGCAGCGCAGCAGGTAAGGAATTTGACGCGGATTTAATGCTTCCCTAAACAGTTCCCGTCTTCGCGCGACGCCTTGCGAGCCTTTTTGCGACGTAAAACGACCTTCGCTTTTGTACGCGCGGCCGTCCAAACAAGGCAACATTGCCGTTACGAGTCACGAAATTTAGCCGATCACTGCTGGGATTTCAAGAAACCTATAGCTGTTGTTGAACCAACGTAGACGGTCTGCTGACGCGCATGCGCTAGACCTACCGTAGTAGCAGCTTACACCAACTAGGAACTAAATACGGGTCTACAAGTACCAATTACGCTGCTAAGAAGTGCATACGCGACTCTAGGCAGCTGCAGATCTCGCAGGAATCTTCAACAGCGCTACTGTGTTCGCGAAACGGCTCTTCAACGCGGGATACTGTCTACGTGTGTGACCTCACCATTAGGCACTTCGCATTCTGTTTGACTGACGTCAAAGGCCTAGCCTTGCGACACTGATTTTGGCGATCAAAACAGAAGCACGAGCTTTTTTCAGCGGAAGATAAGCAGTTATCAGGCAGCCTTCGAGAATGCCAACCATCCACTACCGCCATCGTCATTCGCTTTTAGACTGTGATCGGTCCGAGCAACCAGTCATGTGAACTCTTCATGCATCATAACTAGCCAGCGTCAATGCTAAATTGTTCTAACCAAATAACTCGAGACCACTTTCCGTACCAAAACTACGTGTAAGAAATATCATAGTGATGAACAAAAAAAATTTTTTGTGTCGCGTTGTGTGAGACGTAACAAAAAGTTTTTGCACGGAGTGGGATTCGAACCCACGCATCGTTACCGATACCAGAACGCTCAGAGGGACACGTGTGTGCTAAGCGAACGCATCGCTTGAGTCTGGCGCCTTAGACCACTCGGCCATCCGTGCACGCGCTCCCGACGAGCGGAAACACCTCCCGATTTTGGACGAACGCGTCAAATACGATTAACCGATAACTCCAAGGACTGTTGGATTTTAAAAGCATCCGAGATGAAATAGTTCTCGACCACTGCATCGATAGCGGTATTACTGGCCCAGTATACTCCATCTAACAAGCGTTATCAACGTGTCGACTAACCACTGACTATTCAGTTCCAGTAAGGCAGCGTCCAGAAAGTCTGTAATCATTACATCGCCATTTTTTGACCCCCACCCACCCACTTGTAATCAAAATGTAATCAGGGGTCGTACCCCACCCACCCGCCCGGTAATATTACATGCGCACAATCGGGTTTTAAGCGCAGTACAAAGCAAGTTTTAAGTACTTTTTTAGCACTTTTAAGCAAAAAATCAGTTAAAGTTTTTGAAAAATAAGTTTTAAAAAGGCCCGTCGCAGGCGATACCAACGAAATTTTAGGTCAAAATTTGCAAAGCATAGTCAAAATTTGCTCTTGACCCCACCCCTCCACCATGTAATCAAATGTAATCAGTGGCCGGACTCCACCCACCCACCTGTAAGGATTACAGACTTTCTGGACGCTCCCTAACGGTAACAGGAAACATATTTTACATTTTTATTTCAGTTTATCACTTACAAAAATTACCGAGGAGTAAATAAAAGTAACTATTAAATGCCTTAACGACGAGCACTGGACACAGTTGGAGGAGAGCCGGTAATACAAATGTGTTTGGAGTCGATGTCGAGGACCGAGACTCTGCTTCGAGACACCATGCTGAACATTGAGGCAACTGACCGTCGAGAGGAGGGTGAAGCTCAGCGAAAATACTGCCACAACGGGGAACGTAGAAATCGTGGAGAACATTTTACAACGGGCTATGGAGAACTTGGCCTTATACATATTACGCCGGAAGGGTTTATGATGCCAGTGAAAAGATGGGCTGAGCTGGAAAAGAGGATTGGGCAGGCAGACTGCTCACAAAGGTTATATTTTCGCATGAAATTATGAACGATTTATGCGGATTAAAAACGTTCATCAGCACTCTGCCTTGCAAAATAGCATTGACGAACGGAATAACTTAAAGCCTTAGAGACGAATAGACCACTGGCGTGAGGCTTGACGCAAAATATTGTCTATTAGCACATGAGATCCTCAGAGAACCGTGCCGGCCGGAGCACCCGTATCGTGCGGCGACGAAGTGACGCTGGCGAGGGACGCGGTGGGCGACGTGCTCGACGCCACGGACGCGACGTACTGCTGCTGGAGCGCCGCTTGCAGCATGCGCTGCATGTCCACCTGCTGCTGGAACTGGGCCACTGCGGCGTACTGCGAGAGTGATGGCTGAAGGCTGGCGAACAGCGACGGCTTGTAGTAGTTGAGCGGGTCGATGGAGTAGGCGGACTGCGACTCCACGTTCTTCGCCAGCGCGGCGGCGAACTGCGGCGCTGTGGCGGCTAGCAGCGCGTGCTGTGTGAGGGTGGGATTCGTCGGGAAGCTAGCAGTCAACGGCGGAAGGCCTAAATTTTGCTGGTTGAAGACGTGGCATAAGACATCTAGAAGAAAACGATCTTTAAGATGGTTGCGGCGCGATCATTTAGCGGGAAATGAAACGGATCAAAACTAACCGAATGCCGATGGGAACTTGGCAGTGTTGTTGTTGTACTTCGCGGCATTGGCAGCCGCAACTGCGGCGGCAGCGTTGCCCGCAGCGATGTTCTTCGGCTTGCGACGCGGCCGGTACTTGTAGTCCGGGTGCTCCTTCATGTGGAGCGCACGGAGGCGCTTCGCTTCGTCGATGAACGGTCGCTTCTCGACCTCCGAGAGCTGCTTCCACTCGGAGCCGAGGCGCTTCGAAATCTCCGAGTTGTGCATCTTCGGGTTCTCCTGTGCCATCTTGCGCCGCTGACCACGAGACCATACCATGAATGCGTTCATAGGGCGCTTCACGTGAGAGGCAACGTTCGAAGAAGCCGAGCTAAATCGGATTTATCAGTTCGGTACTAAATATTGGCATTTTGCTGCATAAGCTTACTAAAACCACTATGAGAAAATTCATCTGATTGACTTAGCACTATTAGGACGTACTTGTTTAGGCCATGCTGCATAAGCTGACCACCGCTGAGAGCACCGAGAGCATGCTGTGCCGCATGTGCCACCTCTGCCGACGGATGGCTACTCGGGCTTGCCGTCGAAGCACATCTGCCGGAATCGGAATCGGAGCATGCGTCCTCATCCGCGCATTCGTCCATGTGCGCGTCGTCGTGGTGCTGCGCAGGCGGACTAGTCTGCGGAAGGATGCCGGCGGGCGGACTGGCGGCCGCCTCCTTGACCGGAGGCGAGCCGGAGACCGTGGGCAGCACCGCGCTGTACTGCTGCATGAGCTGCATGTTCTGGAAGAGCGCCGGGTTGTAGCCCTGGTGGTGGAGAAGCAGAGACGAAAGGTCGGCCATCATTGGTCCCGATTGCGGGCGGTGAAGACGTGCGAGTAAGTTACGAGTAGCTGGTCGACGAATTCGGAAGGTCAGTTGCGTTGTTGGCGACGTTTCACTTTCTGCAAATGACACTCGGTTGGCACTTTTCGCACGGTCCAATTCACGGCTCAATTAGCGCGCTGAATGCCGACCGGCGGCTATTAATGGCGAACACGAAATGCCGCAAGCAGATAGCGCAAAACACGCTCGCTAGAGACCGGGAAAACACACTCGGGCCCAGGTCGGATGAGGCGAAACAAGTCCGCTTCTTGTTCGGGGGCTCTTTAAAACGAGCAAATATGACACCAACACGCGCGACGGTCGTCGAGAACAAAAGGTGACGCGCCGTGCGCCTGAAGTGGGATGCGGGAGCCACTCTCGGCCAATTGTCTCCATTTAACGCCGCGCCGCAACAAAATGGAGTATAATAAAGCGCGAACAAAGGCGGCGAAGAATGACTAGACGGCGCTGCTGAATGCTGCAGTTCCAAAAAGGGGCCGCGAAAGGCGCGCCGTGGAGGAAATCCAGGAGCGGTGAATGGCACGTTGCGAAACTCCCACAATGAGACAACAATGGCCTGTCACCGAATGTGGTCCCGGTGACCAATTAGGGGCTTTTGCTCGGGAGGCTACTCCTTGCAGGTTCGTCGAGAATGAACTTTCACAGGTAACAAATGATCAGCAGCCATTAAGGGTCGGTGAATTTAAGGGCTCTTCGTGGGAGACTCCTGAGCCTAGTGGCCCGCATGTTTATACCGAAGCAGAGGCAAACAATGAGGCGTCGATACGTCTAGTGAGCAATTTTAGCTTGTATGCGTCTCCATTTCAGGCCCTTTCGAAATCCGAGGAGCTGATTAGGCCCTTTCCGAAATGAATCAGACTCGTGGACACGTCCCTATTCAGGTGATAAACACTCAAAAGGGGGCAGAACAGCACATTCCTCACGCACACAATGATCAGCTATTACATTGACGAGTGCGTCAGAGATGAGCACCGCCGAAAGGTGTGTCCGGACGAGGACAAAAGCAGCTTAAGCCCGCTTAATGAGGAACCGAGGGCAGGTCCTCATGCCATGGCGACATAGAAGGCCAGGCACACTATACATGCTCGCGAGAGCGAGATCTTCCACCGTCTTTGTTTTCCGGGACTGCGAGCGGCACAAGGAGGAGGGAAGCTCCTCGGCATTATAGAACTCATCAAAGCGGATCATCCGCCAGGAGAAGCTCTCAGCATTATTACATTTCGGTGGTTGGCGATTTCCGAATCCGAGAGGTTTAACCAATGGGATTTGTGCCATCAACCGCTGCCTATTTAGCGAGCTTTCAGGGTCGGCGAAGACGCGATACAAATTTGAAACACGTTCCTATAAGCACAGCCAGAAACAGGAAGGAGAGGGATCGTATGGAGAAGTATCTCAAAATTTCAACTTCCTTTCGAGATCAGTCTACGTCTGTAATGTACACAGATCGTAACTACCTAGTACGGATTCTGCACTCTCGCTTGGACCGTGCGCGAAGCCATCCAACAATGCATCCTCTCGATGCCACCATGCCTTGCATCTAACCCGCTAGCGCCCTTAAGTATGTAACCCGCTTTTCAGTCGCGGTTCCGGACGACAAATTGTATTCCCATGTGAGCCATGGTTCGCGCAAACCCGCTCATTTCCGGCACGCCGCACTTCCCCAATACAGGTGGCTTATCCCCGTCGCGCACGCCGAGAGCACTCTCATTATATCATGCGCGGTTTCATGGCCAACGGCACCCGGCTCGTACAAACGCCGAGCGCGCTGCGCGGAAGCATAAAGCAAATAATTAGCAAATCCCTTTGCAGCGCTAGCGGGGAATAGAGTGCGAACCGGGTGGGTGGATCATTAGCCGCAGCAAGCAAGAAAGATTTTAGCCACTACAGCAGCGCGTCGAAGCCGGATGGTTTCACTTTCAAAACACTAATTGTCATCTCCGTTTCAGTTCGATTTTAGCGCTTAGTTCAAGCTGAAAGAAAGCTATTATCAGGACCCAGACGGAACGGATCTGTTGACCCGTTCAGCCATAAATTTGGACTCTTTGTCGGACCCTAAATGAGCCGACAGTCATCGAGACTGCGGAAGGCGCCCTTAAAATCACACTATCCGCATCCGCTGGCGCAGAACACAAAGCCGCGCGCAAGAACAAAGCCGCGCTGGGCCATGCGATCCGACCGACATACCGCTTATTATTTCGCAGGATTGCGTGCGCGAAACCGCGGCGGCACAAGGCCGCTGTGGGGCAACCGACAGGAAATGGACAAAAGCGGATACCCCCGTATCAAGTGGATTTGCGCTTGTGCGGAACGCATTTGCCATCGCCCAAGCGTGCACGACGATCAAGTGTCAGTTTTGAGGTGGTCGTCAAATTCTGGGGGCGTTCGACGACGGTAAGATGTGGGTAAACGGGACTAGAGACAATGTTCGGGTCTCCCTTTGTCGATCACGGGTGGCTCTAGCGGAGCCGGTGCCGTTCCGCCGATGGTACGGCTACTC